GATAGGTGCACTTACATACATGTAGGCCAATACTCCTACACATAAAAAAATACAAATAAAAAAAATTTCCTCTTTCTACCAAGGTTTATGAGGCTCCAATGAAGTATAAACAATTGATGTTTATCTAAAAGCATTGGCTCAGCAGGTAAGAGTGCTTTCTGCACAAGCCTGGCAACCTGAGTTCCATCTCCAGAACCCACACAAAGGTGGAAGAATCGACTCGGCAGAGTTGTCTTCTGACCTCCATACACCTGCCATTGCACATGCATGCCTACACACACACACACACACACACACACACACACACACACACACACACACAAATCAATGAAAAGCCAGGCATGGTGGCCAAATGAGTAAGTTCCAGGTTTAGTGATAGATCCTGTCTCAAAAAATAAAGTGGAGAGCGATTGCAGAAGACACCAGACATTGATCTCTGGCTTCCATATGCATGCGTACACATACATGCATGTATATGTGCACACTTGCACCCATGTACACATATATACACAGAAAAAAGAAAAACAATAATCACAGGCAAGACATAGCGCATGTCTCTAACCCTAGAACTTGCAACATTGAAGCAGAAGGATCATGAGCTTCTGGCCAGGCTGGGCTATACAACAAGGCTCAAAAACACCAGTGCAGATATAGCTCAGTTGGTAGAGTGCTTGCTCAGCACAAAGGCCTCCTGGGTTCAATCCCCAACACTGCCTAAACCAGATGTGGCGATGCAGGTCCATAATCCTAACACACTCAGGAGCTAGAGAGGGAGGATAAGATCATGGTCATCCTTGGCTACACAGCAAGCTTGAGGCCAGCTCAGGATACATGAGAACCTATACAAAATGTAAAATTAAATAAAAAGGGGGTGCCTGGCATGGTGGCACATGCCTATAGTCCCAGCACTCAGGAGGCAGAGGCAGGCAGATCTCTGTGAGTTCAAGGCCAGCCTGGTCTACATAGTGAGTTCCAGTCCCTTTGGGGCTACAGGGAGACCCTGTCTCAGAAAAACCAACTAAATAAATAAAAAATTAAATAATTAATTTTAAAATTAAACAAAAAGGGAGGAGTGTGGTTCAGTGGTAGTCAAGGCCCTGGACCCTACCCCAGCAAAGTACACAACAGTAATCATAGTTCAGTGTCCTTTAGGAATCAGGCACTGTGGTTATACTTCTTGGTGCCTGTCCCAACATGCGCTTTACTATCCTTCTTACAAGCAGAACTCCAATTTCTTTTTAACTTACAAAAAATTACTGGGGAGTGGGGATGTGTGCCACAGCACACATGTGGAAATAAGTCAATTTTCTCCTACCACCATGTGGGTTCCAGGGATTGAACTTGGGTTGTCAGGCTTGGCAGCAATACCTTTACCTACTGAGCCATCTCGCCAGCCCTAGATATTGAATTTTGTATGCCTCTTGTAGCTAGTGGTGTCTGGGTGACCACAGTGGAGTCAACCAAATGGAACTAGAAGTCCTGGTGATGTTTTAGAAAATTCTTGAAAGGGAATGAAAATCTTTGCCCTTTTCTCCCTCCTTAGAATGTCATTGTTGGGCTGGAAAGATGGCTCAGTGGTTAAGAGCACTGACTGCTCTTGCAGAGGACCCAGGTTTAATTCCTAACATCCACATGGTGGCTGTGGACCATCCTTGACTCCAGTTCCAGGGGCATCCAAAGCTCTCTTCTGACTTCTGCGGCATTGCACGACACAGATGCATTCACATGCATGTAGGCAAAGCACTCATACACATGGAATGAAAATATTTTTTTAAAAAAGCATGTCATTGCTATGACAAAATATCAGGTTTACAGCATATAAGAAAAGGTTTATTTCTTCTCAGTTTCAGAAGTCTGAGTCCATGGTTGCTTGGCCCTGTTGCTTTGTGATTGTGATGAGGCAGTGCATAATGGCAGAAGACTGTGGCAAAGGGAATTATTCCCCTCATGGTGACCAGGAAGAGAGAGGATGGGGCTAGGGGATGCCCACAATGATCTCACTTCCTTCCACTAGGCCCCACCCCCTAGATTCTACCACCTCTCAATACTGTCACAGCCTAGTGACCAAACCTCTAATACAAGAGCCTTTTTGGGTCACTCCAGATACTATAACACATCATCTTGCATGAGCTAAACCACACACCAAGGATGGTGGGGTAAACTGAATCCTCAAGGACAGCCCTGAGCTGTTCTCACAGCCTTGAAATGCCTAGCCTGGACTTCCTACTGCCTAGAAAAATAGTCTATATGGTAAGTTCTGAACTTTAAAAGCTCAGGTGTTTTTCATTTATTTATTTTTGTGAACAGGGTCTCCTTGTAGCCCCAGGTAGCCTCGCTCTCACAGAGATCCACCTGCCTCTGCTGGGATTAAAGGCATGTGCCACCATGCCTAGCTAACTCCTTTTTTTTTTCCTTTTTTGAGACAGAGTCTTATTTAGCCCAGGCTGGAGTTGAACTTGCTATATATTCAGGGATGATCTTGAACCTCTGATCCTCCTCCTGCCTCTCTCTACCTCTCCAGAGCTGGGATTTACAGGTGTGTGCCACCATGCCTGGTTTACACAGTGCTGGGTTAGAACCCAGGACTTTCCATGCTAGGCCCTCTCCCCAGTGAGCTGCATCTCCGGTCCCCATTTACTTCTCATATAAACCTATGATGCAGACATTGCTACACAAGCCCCATGGGTGAGAAAAAAAACCTTGAAGTCTGTGGCAGAGCTGAGATTCCAGGCCCACCTACTATCTCCATTTTTGCCATACAAGGAGAAGAAAGAAGAGATCCTATAGGTAGACATGCAGGATTAGCAAGGGCCAACTACTGAACACATAGCAACTGAATCCTGTCAGAGGCCAGGCATGCCAGTGCGGGGAATGTGACAAGTCAATATGGCCCAACCCATGGAGCTTCTATTTTAGAGTAAAATAAGCAAAGATGTATTTAGGTCAAGGAGTGGTAAATGCTACAAAAAAAACGAAGCAAGTTAAGGGGGAGAGAAAGTGCTATTTTTTAGAGTAAATCACAGAAGCCTTTGAGGTGACCTGCTCACCAGCTCTTTAATATGTGATAGGGAGAAAAAACAAAAAAGGAATGGAGCAAGTTGGTTACAGATGGGAGGCAGAGGCCCTGGAGCAGGAGCATGAAGTGAGGGAAACCAGCAGGCAAGGTCCACCAAGGTGGTGGGATGGCGGGATGGAGAGGCGTTTGCACTGTGGTTAAGAAATTCTGGCTTTTATTCAGTCACGGGAAGGTTTTGACCACAAAATAGATTCAATTTATAACCTAACTGGCTTATGGGCTAAGTGGAGAATAGTGGGGAGGGAGGTAGAGAGGGAAGAGATGAGACAGAGGCAGCTGAGAGGGGCCATGAGATGCTGGGCCTTGATGGGGGGTAGGCAATGAAGGTGAACTGTGTTCTCACGCTGGGTGCGCTGAGAGCCAAGCTGATGTGGGGCATGAGAGAGAAGGTAAGCATGACTTCAAGCCTCTGGCCTTGACAACCAGAGCGTCAGGGGAGCCAGCAGAACTGGTTGTTTGGGTGCTGGAGCAAGCACAGGTGTACTTGGCTTTGGTCCTCAGGAGTGAGCACGGACCATCTTCATTCAGTTTCCAGGTTGCCAGCTCTCCATTCTCCTCCACTGGCCACTCTCGCAAGCCTTCCCTCCCTCACCTCTAAACAACAGTGAAGTATTCAGAGGTGTCAAGAAATGAGATGTAGCCAATAGTGATGTGAGAAAAAGGAAAAGTCCAGCATGGTGGAACATGTCTGTAACCCCAGCACTTGGAAGGCAGAGTCAGGAAGATCAGGTGTTCAAGGCCAGTGTTCGCTAATAGCAAGTCTGAAGCTACACGAGACCGTGACAAAGAAAGAAAGACAGAGAGAAAGGGAGGGAAGGAACGGGGTGGGAAAGGAAGGGGAGGGAGGGGAAGAGAGATGGGGTGGAGATGCATGCGGCCACGAGCTTGTAAATGCAAGTGAATACTGTACTAACTAGGTATGTTAGTCAGGTTTTATTTGTTTTGCTTTGATTTCTTGAGACAAGTGTTCTGCTATGTGTCCTAAGCCTCAAATTCACAATCTTCCTGCTTCAGTCTCCATAGTCCTAGGATTAATGGGCATGTGCCACCACGTTCACCTCCTAAAAGGTGGCACTATGCTCGAGACCAAGCCTTTAACATATGGACCTTTTTAAATTAAAAAAAAAAAAATTTTAATTTTTATTATTTTCATTCTATGTGTATGAGTGCATTGCCTGCATGTTTGTGAGTGCACCCGTGTCGTTTCCCCCAGTGGTCAACCAGCCAAACAAAGTCTCCATTCCATCCTTTCTTTTCATTTTTTATTTATTTTATGTGTATGTGTATTGCCTGTATGTATGTGAGTGCACCCGTTTTGTGCAATGCCACGGAAATCAGAAGAGGGCTTCGGATTCCCCTGGAACTGGAGTTAAGGACGGTTCGTAGCCTCCATGTGGGTGCTGGGAATTGAACCCGGGTCCTCTGCAAGAGCAGTCAGTGCTCTTAACTGCTGAGCCTTCTCTCCAGCCCCAACACATAGACCTTTGACAGAGAGCATCTAAGCTATAGCACTAAGAAATCTGACAAGTACCAAGGTTATATAAGACACACGCAAAAAATGGAGTAGCATTACTCTATGGGACGGAATGTAAGAAGAAATACATACTTTTTAAGACTCACTATAGGAAAAGCCTGTATAACAAACATAATAGACAGAAATGAGATTCTTTTCCTTTTCCACACCAAGAAAGTTGCTATGCATGCCAAAGCCAAGCAAAACTCACTCCTGGACAGATTCTGGCTTTGCACGCAGCCTGGGGTGGGAAGAACAACAGCAGTAGAGAAGATGCCACACCTTATGGAACAAAGTGCCACCAGTCTCTGCCTCCAGGAAGAGTGCCCACGTGGCCCACTCACCCCCATCTTCTCCCCATAGGGCTTTAGTACATTCCAGACAGAGATTCACAAGAGACTGTATAGCAAATACTTATTAGAATGATTTTAATTTTAAAAAACAACAAAGTCAAAGTCTCTAGGCAATACTCTACAACACAGTAAAAACTACCAAGAGTGTTAGTTGCACACCTCGCTGGCATGCAGTGGTTCCTTCAGCAAGAGCAAAGGCTATCCAGAAGTTTCCACATAATTTTATAGTATCTTCCTTTTTAGAAGTCCTACTAAAAGGAGGCTGCTGAGGCACAGAGGTAAAGGGACTGGCGTGAGGTCAGACTATAGGGAGACACAGAGGGCCCAGAAATCCATCATTCCTTGTGAAATGCTGCCCAATATATATTCTATGGCTACTGAAGTCACTGTCCTTGTCATCATTAACACCCCCAGGATGTAGTGGTGAGGGGGCTAGGCTGGGACATGATGTCCAATGATCCAGACCATAGCTTGGCAGGCAGGATATCCTGGGGCCCAGACCCAGGCTGCCCCTTGGTTCCAATGTAGTACCCCTTACTATCAAGCCCAACCCTCCTGGCTAAAAACCAGCTTCACAGCCTCATTCACATCATTCACAATGTGGGATGCTTCCAGGAGCTTTGGGTGGAAGCTGAAGTCCCGGTGCCCATGGAATGGAGGCTCTGCCCCTCCAAGGGCAGGCTCTGTGGACCCCACATCCTGGGAACTGTATACACCAGTGCAAACCAGGATGGAGGCACAGCTCTGGGTTGCTGAAGGCCGCTGCTTCTGCAGTCCGCTAGTCCTTTGTTCTTCTGCCCTGCCCCACTTTGACATTTGCAGGTACTGGTGGAACAGGTTGGCACCATAGACATCAGACATAGGATTATCGCTGGCAGGGGCGACAATACCGGAAAAGGAAATAGGAGATAATCCAAGTTCAGTATAACAAGCAAACAGAACAGAGATCTATTTGGGAGTAGAAGTGTGACTCAGCTATAAGAAAACAAGGGGTGTGGGTGGATGAAGAGGAAGGAAGGTTGTGACAGGGATGAAGTGATACAGTGCACTTACCCTATAGCATAGAGCTTCCTGATGGGGGCGACCCAGCCCCGCCTCTCTGCCTGCTGCTTGATCAGGTCCTCTGCATACTGGTAAGTGAGGATGCTGGGCTTGCCAGTCAGGCCCTCGTATCTCAGCTCCTTGCCTGTCACTTTCCGGTAGATGGTTTCCAGACAAAGCAGAAAGGTGCCATGGCCAAACCTGCCCAAGAAGAGAACTTAGGAGTCCTGCTCTCTGTGCCACCTGTCTTTCTCTAAGCTGCTTCCACACCCCAACTTGTACTCCAGGGTCCTGGGGTGACTAGCCAAAGTTAAATTATTCTAGTAAGAGTGAATATTTAGTGGGCACTCTTGCAGCATGGGATAGCATATCGAATCAATGCTCAGAAAAACCCTCCAGTATTACTATTATCCTCATTTTACACCCAAGGAAACAGACCTAGCAAGATTAGGCAACTTCCCCAGGGTAGTAAAACCAGGATGGCAACTCTGGTAGCCTCACTCCAAAAACTTGTTAAAAAAAATTATTTTAATTTATTACTACACATGCATATGTGTGAGAGTCATGTGTGTGGGCATGCATGCTATGGTGTGCAAGTGGAGGTCAAATGACAACTTTATGGAGTCAGTTCTCTCCTAACTTCACATGGGTCATGAGACTCAAACACAGTCATCAGGCTTGGCAGCAGGCACTTTACCTGCTGAGCCATCTCACTGGCCCCCAAATCCAAGTTTAAATGCTGGTCTACAACTGCTGGCTGCCATCCTTCCCTTCTTTGTCAGCATCAATTTCCAATGGAGCACATGGGCTGCTAGTAGTAGAGTATGTTCACTGCCTCCCTTGCAGCTAGCTGCAGCCAAGTGACTAAGCTACATTACTAAGCAGTAGATCTGGCATGGTGGCTCACACCTTCAATCCCATCACTCAGGAGGCAGAGGGATCAGAATCTTGGCTTTCCCCACCCCTAGGACTCACACACTAAAGCAAATGAAGAAGCGAAAGAGCTAATACAGGAAGGAAGTGTTTGAACACATACCTTAAAAACCTCCTGAGACTGTGAGAGTGCATATTGAAATATCACCCCAACATACCTTCATGCACAGTACTCTGCAGTATTAGCTTAATAGTGATATGAAGCGACTCTTGAAAGCCCTCCCAGAGGCCACATTACCCTAGAACCTATGGAGCCCATCTAGAAATGGAAAAGGTCAGGAACACTGTGTCCACACCTGGGCATCTTGGCTTCAGCCATCCAAAGGAGATCCATGTTGCTAGCCAGGACAGGGAGGTGGGGATAGGGAGCTGTTGCCAGGCCAGTTCCAGGGTTCCCATTGCTGAGGAGGACATCCATGATCAGCTGCAAGTTTGTTTCCCAGCGGATGGGTTCCCCAAGGAGGAGCACCCCTTAAAAATAAAAGGCAAAGAGATGAGAAGGCAGGGTACTCAGCATGCCCTGTGTGGTAGGTGGGTAGAAGACCCTCAGGAGGCAACAGAGACCAACCCAGAGCTCTTCAGTAAGGTGCACGTATCTGGGTGAGGGTATGGTTCTCTGAGCTGGCCTTAACCAAGCCATGTACCTGTATACCTTGGGTAAACAAAGCCCAGGGCCCAGAAGGAACACCCCAAGGGTATCCTTTGTGTCTCCACTGGTGCTTCACAGAGGAGGAAAAAAGAAAAAGCAAAAAGAAAAAAAAAAGAAAAAGAAAAAGCAGCAAGTCTCACATGGCTTCATCTGTTGATGGGACTCTGCCCACCACACCTTACTACCTGCACTGTGCAGGGGCTTGCCCTCCCTCGGTTGCATTTCTGAGCCTTGAGGCCAAACACAGAGCTTGGACTGAGAAAATCCTGAATTCTAATCCTAACTCAGCCAAGTTTCCTGTGGGAATGTGGCAGTTAAAAAAAAAAAAGGCGGGGGGGGGGGGAATGGGCTCTTGAAGTGCAGCTCAGTACCGGAGAGCTGGCCCTGTACTAGCATTAGCAAGGCCCTGAATTCCATCCCGAGCAATGCAAAAATAGGTAAGTAAATAGGGGCTGGAGAGATGGCTCAGTGGTTAAGAACACTGGCTGCTCTTGCAGAGGACGGAGTTTGGTTCCCAGCATCCACATGGTGGCTAACAATCGTCTGTAACTCAAGTTCCAGGGGATCTAATGCCCTCTTCTGACCTCTGTGGGTACTGCATGACACAGGTGTATTTACATACATGGGGGCATAACACTCATACACATAAAAGAAAAAAGAAAAAAAATAGTTAAGTAAATAAATGAAATTTAAGGCTGGGCATGGTGGTATATGCCAGTAATCCTACCACTTGGGAGGTAAAGGCAGGACAATGAAGAGTTCATAGTCTCTTAGACTACACAGCAAATTGGAGGCCAGTGAGATCTCGTCTCAAAAAAAAGTTTTGAGCAAACACCATCGCTCATTCCTAGAATGCCAGCATTTAGAAGACTGAAAGAGGAAGATTATAGAGTTCAAGGCAAGCCTTGGCTACATACTGAGTAATAGAATAGCCTGTGATACAAAATGAGAACTCTGTCTCAAAAAAATTTTATAATAAAATTAAAAGATGGTTTACTCATTTGAAATTCTCAAAAATTTTTTTAATTAAAAAAAGATGGAAGGGGGCTGGAGAGATGGCTCAGCAGTTAAGAATACTGGTTGTTCTTGCAGAAGACCCAGGTTCAAATCCCAGAATCCACGTATGGAGTGGGCATGGATTTGATCAAAACACCTTTTATGCATGTATGAAATTCTCAAATACACATAAAATAAAAATAATAAAAAATTTTTAATTAAAAAAATAAAAAAAGATGGAAGATATATTTTGATTGTCACAATGATACACTTATCAAGAAAAAAACTAGTCTATATAGGCAAAAATTGTCTCATCCTAACAGTATCTGAATGTCCTACCCTACATTTATGTAGGTGAACAGCCTGGCCTATTCATAATTATTTGAGCAATTTCATTTTATATCTAATCAAAGTATTTTCAAACTTTTTAGATTTATTTTTATATTATGTGTATGAGTGTTTTGCCTGAATGTACCATGTGCAATGCCTGCAGAGGCCAAAAGAAGGCATCAGATCACCTGGAACTGGAGTTACAGATGGTTTTTAGCTACCATGTGGGTGCTGGGAACCAAACCCAGGTCCTCTGCAAGAGCAGCCAGTGCTCTTAATCTCTGAGCCTTCTCTCCAGTCCCGAAAAGCATTTTCATACAGTTTTAACAACTTTTTCCCCCTCAAAATAGTAATCATGTAAGTCAAGAGACTCCTAATATTTCTTAAACTTTTGCTAAGAATTGTTTTCTACTTTGGAAAACCAACTGACCAATGACAGTGCTTCCCACACAACTATCATACCTATAAACACATCTACTCTGTTGCTGGAATGTTCTTGGTGATTTTGTGTTTAGAACAATTATTTCACTTCTCAAGTAACTATTACACATTGAAACACATTACAATCTTATCAAAACATTTTCCAGGAGCTAGAGAGATGGCTAAGAGCACTGGCTGCTCTTGCAGAGGACCTGGGTTCAATTCCCAGCACCCACATGGTGGCTAACAACCATCTGTAACTCCAGTTCTAGGGAATCTGATACCCTCTTCTGGTGTCCACAGGCCACATGGGTGCACTTATATACATGTGGGCAAGACACTCATACACATAAAATAAAAATAAATGATGTTTATAAAAAAGTAAAATTAAAAAAAAAATTCCTTTCCTTTCCCCCATTACAGCTAAGGCATTATAATTTTTTCATTTGGGTTTGGTTTTGGTTTTGAGATAGAGCCTCTTCCTCTATAGCCTAGACGAGCCTTGAACTCCACTTACCTCAGCATTCCAAGTGCTGAGTTTACAGGTGTGCACAACTGGCTACTGATTACTTTTTGACAAAGTTAACAGGAAAGCGCTATTACTTCAGGATAGTGAAGAGATGTTACAGTATCTGTACAATAAAGGGGAGAGCTAAGCGACACTGGACTAAACTGTCAGTACCTTTCCACTCTTGAGAGTTGCTAAGCTTACAATTCTTCGGCATAACAATGTGAGCACTGTGGAGAAGGAAAGATTATCAGCACATCTCAGAGGTGCTGTGTAGACACCCAGGGCTGGAACTCAAATGTCCCAGGTCCTGTTGTGCAAGAACACCCTTGCCACTCTATCAGGCTGTAGGCAAACAGTAACACTAGAACAACAAGAACCTGAAAGGAGAGAGGAAAATAGACCCACACCCACCCAGGTGCAGGGCCCCTTTTACCTTCAATGGCAGGGAAGTCACTTGTCGTCGGGAGGGGCTGCCAAAAGACAAAGAAGAGGCCCATCAATGCTAGTCACTTTCCACTCCTGGAGCATCCAGTCACCAGAGGTGAGTGGCAGGAAAAACAAATTCCACAGGTTAGGGACCACCCCCAGGGTCCAGCTTAAGCCAAGGAGAGTGGAAAGAACTGAGGGAAGAAGATGCACAAAGGGAAAGACAATAACCAGGGAGGTCTCGACACTGGCTGAGGGACACCATATAGGAAGTCTGCCAGGAGGTGTGTGGTCAGCTGTGCTTCTCCAGCCAGGACACAAAGCATGATCCTGGGCCAAGCAAGAGCCGCTATAATTAGGTTACTATGGAGAGAAAGGCCCTCTGAGCATGAGGAATCACTTATCTTGATGTCAGCTGTAGAGGCCTTCACTTTACCAGCTTCTTGGGGCTGTATTTCCCTGGCTTGGCCCTGCCACCAAGTGACTGGGGGACCTGGGGTGAATCTCTTCCCCTGTGCAGTGCTCAGGCTTGGAGCTACTCTAAGGTCTGTTCCCACTCTCCATTCTGGTTCTCAGAATTTTAGTGGCTCAAGAGAAAGCTCTCAAAGGAGAGGGTAGCTCTACAACTGCAAAGCTCTGGAAGAAGGACTTAAAATCTATTTTCTATTAAATAAATGAAAGTAAGGTTATCTGTCTGTAATTGCATGTCATCAAATTCTAAGTTATTAACTCTATTTAAAGTGCTCATGAGGAATGGATCATTGGGCACCAAGAGATGGGCAGTAATACTCTAGAGGGTCAATGAGAGGCTGGAGCTACTGTCTGTGAGAGGTAAGGAATCACCAGATGAGGTGGAAGCTCAGTGGCAGAGCACTTCCCAAGCATGTACAAGCCCTGGGTTCAAGCAATCACCAGAACCACAAAAACAAATCAAATCAGTGTTTCAAATACAAGCTAAACCCAAAAGAAGTATGGGAAGATACACAGACTCATCAATTTGGACTGCTTCAGGATGAAGGAGCAGTGCTGAGAATTTACTAATGTTGATGATTCACCCCAAGAAAACCTGGGGGAGCCAGCTGGTAAACACCACTGTGACTACTGTGTGCTGAAGAAAATGTCAGGGCTCTGCAAGGAGTTTCCAGGTGATTACAACAAAGCAGAAGGGCAAGGGCTTAGAGCACATTGCTTCTCTAGACCTTCCTATCTATCCGGGAACACAATCCCTGGCCAGATGCACCTCTCCAAGAAGGCACTGCAGAAGCACCAACAAAACGCAGCTCTCAGCAGAAGGGGGGCCAGATCAAGTGGAATCAATACAAGGTACATAGTCAACCACACAAAGACCCCAGGAGCATCGTAGAGGGTGAAGTGACCCACCCTGTCCTCATTACCGTGGTCTTCGGCCGTCGCTTGAGGTCCACCATGTCCAGCACTGGGAAGGCTAGCCGCAACTCATCCACTGTTACCACATTCCGGAAGCCTAGTCTGGAGCAAGATCAGGGAAGCAAAGCTAGACAGCTCTGGGGAAGATGACTTTGTAGATGCATCCGATCACAAGTGAGGGAAATTAGACCCAGTCCTGAGCACAGCAGGCAGGCAGATATCATAATCCCACAAGTGCCAATAGGCAGGTTGAGACTGCACAGACCAGACACAAGCAACACCAGTCTAATCCCTTGGTATTCATTAGGGCATCCCAGGTACCAGGTCCTACAAAAGGCAAGATCTAGGGAACAGAGGCAAAAGAAAATATCTGCCCTTAAGGGGCTTACCTCCACCTGCTGGGCCAGGAAAACACTCCTCTGTGGCTGGGGAGCCGAGCAAAGTCACTGTTATGTGACTCTTTCCTTTGAACTGAAAGATTCCCCTTACTTCCCTCCCAAAGTGAGAACATTCCTAAAAGCTACAAGAGTCACTCCCACACATACACCAGGTTATATAAGTGTTTCTGGAAGAAGAGACACGGCCATCAGCCACACCACATGCAAAGTTATACAGGGAGCTCCAGGGATATGCAGCTTTTGAGTCATCTGTGCTGGGGTGGGCCTTTTGGTGACATTGCTGCCTTTGAGCTACCCACATTCATGTAAGCAGCCCTTCACCCATGCTCCTGTAAGATAACCCCAATCAAATGACTGACTCATTAAACTAGACTTACAATAGTCTCTTTGGCCTGTTGGTGGTACCCTATCTGGGGTGAACAGACATTTGTTCACAACTCCCCAGGAAAAGTCACACAATAGTCAGAGAGAAATCAGAGAAGCAAAACATCAACAGTGAAACTCCATTCAGCATTGAAGGGAACGTCACCCAGAAGACCAAGCTGGCTCCAGCCTGCTCCCCTCTAAGACCTGCCTCCATCTTCCTGTCCCCAATTCCACGCTGCAGTCTTAACTAGACATGGTTTCAGATGACACTCAAAATCGGTATCTCCCAAATGATTACACTAACACTGGCTCTCCACTGTTCTGAGTTTATGGCAACATTCACGCATCCAGCCTACTCTACCTCTTCTCTAATGCCCAACTCCACCCACCCCAACTGCTTACTCAACTGCTCAGGACCTCCAGGGGAACCAGCAAACCATCTACAAAAGCCATAGGTCATGCCTGTTCCAGGAATATTTCCCCTCTACACCTTGACACTTAGAAGCTCTCATTCTTTGAAGCCTTCAGACGCATGCCATCTTTCTTTTCAAATTATATTTAGTGGGGTGGGGCACGTGTGCCATGGTGCGCATGTGGAGGTCAGAAAGCAACTTCGGAAGTTGGTTCTGGCCTTCTACCATGTGGGACCTAAGGATCAAACTCAAGTGGTCATCAGGCTTGGATGAGCCACCCTGCTGGCCCTTCTATTTTTTGAGACAGGATCTCACTATGTAGGTCTAGCTGGCCTGTAACTCATTATGTAGATCAGAGTGGCCTTGAACTCAGAGCTCTGTCCTACCTCCTGAGTGCCAGGATTAAAGGTGTGTACCACCATGCCTGGCCCCTTCTTCATCTTCTTTTTGTGGTGCTTGGGATTCAAACCAAGGCCTCATAACATGCTAGGCAAACACTACCACTGAGCTACACTCCTATCCCTTCATGCTGTAATTGCTAATCTTTTTAAATTTTATTGGGGGGGTGGAGCTCATATGGAGATCAGAGGATAATCTGTGGGAGTTGGTTCTCTTCTTCTACCATGTGGGTCCTGAGGATCAAACACAGGTTGTCTGGCTTGGTGACAAGCGCCCTTACTGGCTGAGCCATCTTGCCAGCTCCTGTGATGGTAAATCTTGGTTGTCATCTTGACTGGATCTGCAATCAACTAAGAGACATGCCTCTGGGTGGGTCTGGGAGGGTATTTTCAGGAAAGATTAACTGAGGGGAAAAGACCCTCTCCTGGAGTGGGGGCACCTTCTGAAGGTGGCCCAGATATAAAGAGGTATGAGGAAAAGGCTTCTTTGGAATTCTAATATGCACTGAAAACCAGTAGCTCTCCAGGAATCTTCTAGGCCCTTAGCCAGACCAAGACTGCTGCAGCACCCAGCTGTGTGGACTGACCACCCACTGGGTTCTCAGTCTTTCCAGCAGCAGACAGCCACTGCTGGACTAGCCAATCCCTACTGTGTAAGCCAGGCTATAAATCTCCTTTTATACTGTATATCTACTTCCTTGGTTCTGCTCCTCTAGAGAACACTAATATACTTGCCTTTACTGTTCATGGGTGTTCTTCCCTTTTCAAGTATGAACCCCCTGATTAAGTAACACTCCTGATGCTCTTACCTGGGTCCCCTACCTGCCTTAGAGCACACAGTCCAGCATGGTGCCCAGCACAAATGAACAAGCTGCCAGAGAACTAGGATCATGTCCTTTGTTTCCTGACTGCACAAGCCCAAATGGAAGTTCACTAACAGGTGCTGACAAGGACAAAAGCTGGAAAAGTCTTCCACATCTAGTCACCTGGGCAGCTGTTTGTTTAATTATTAAGATTCCTGACTGTGCTGGATAGTTTAGTGTCAACTTGACACACCTGGGTTGAGGGAGCCTCAATCGGGGAATTGCCTCTATTGGACTGGCCTGTGGCCACATCTGAAGGGCATCTTCTTGATGAGTGATGTAGGAGGGCCCAGCCCACTGTGGGTGGTGCCACCCCTAGGCAGGTGGGCCTGTGTTGCATAAGAAAGCAGGCTGAGCAGGGGCCAGGGGAGCAAGCCAGTAAGCAGCTTTCCTCCATGGCCTGTGCTCCAGCTCCTGCCTCCAGGTTCCTGCCCTGAGTTCCTACCCTGGGCTCCCTGATGAACTGTGACCTGGGAGTTGTAAGCTGAATAAATCCTTTCCTCCCCAAGTTGGTATTGGTCAGAGTGTTTTGTCACAGCAATGAAGAACAAACTAGGACACTGACTTTTACCCTAGACAAAATAGATAAAACACTGCAAGGTTAAGACTCAGGACTATGGACTTTAAGGTCTACAGAAGGCTCTGATGTGGTGGTACATGGACTGGCTTTCAGGAACCACCAGGCAGGAGGACGGACCACACAAAGGAGCTGTCCTCATTCCCCTGACCCTCACATCTCCAGCATCCTGAGCCTGCACCCTGAACCCAGCCTTCCTTACTCTGGTTCCCACATAGCCTAGGGAGGCCCCAGTCCCGCCCTTTCCTCTCTAACCAAAACAGCAAGACAAAAAGGATACGCTTGGGCATTTTCCACCAGGGGCCCCTGCCCAGACACTAGCATCCGTTTGTTGTGGTATTGCAAGAAGAGTTTCAAGGGGCTGTGAGAGAGAATGACTTGGTCTGGATCCACCTAGAGGACAACCAAGAAATAGAGAAGACCTGGGAAAACACAGTTGAGGGAAATAATGAAGATAAGCAGCAGGTTCTGTCACTAGGGTAGAAAAAAAATGCTCCCCAAACAGAGGTGAAAGCCTTTCCTAGCACCTGACACTTTCTAAAACTTATCCTACTAGGAATGAGAACTTATATAGGGCTGGGAATACAGCTTAGGACAAAGTGTTTGCTGAGCATGTATGAGACCTTGGGTTCAATCCCCAGAGGAAAAAAAAAAGACTGCCTAATTTAATTCTCAACAAACGAGAGAAATACCATCAGATATAAGATCTGAGTATTCCAAGTTAGACAGATGGCTCGGTGGTTAAGAGCACTGGTTGCTCCTGCAGACAACTCAGGTTTGGTCCCCTGTACCCACAGGGGATCTGACACCTTCTTTCAGCCTATATGAACACTGCATGATACGGGTACACTTAGGTACAAGCACGCAAAACACCAATACACATAAAACAATTTAAAAAATAAAATTAAAATTAATAAAAAGATCTATTTATCAATTGTGTTGGACTAAGCTCAAAGATCCCTTAGATTTTTCCATCCCTCACTTGGAAACCACAGGCTTTACACCCAGGTTCTTTGTCACTGTCCTAAAAATCTACCTTAGACTTTGACCATTTGTTTTCAGTTCTACTTAAAAACTAGCTTCCCTTTACCCCTGCAGTGCTGGGGACTAAACCCAGGGCCTTGCAAATGCAAAGCAAGTGCTGTATCAGCGAATTATACTCCCAGCCCAAGGTTTAGTCTGTATGTGTTATGCATGTGTACGCATATGTATGTAGGGAGATGCATACATGGAAAACCAGAAGTCACTTTATTTTTTAAGTCTCTCACTCAACCTGGCTAGACTGGCTGGCCATCCAGTCCCAGGGATCTGACTCCACCCTCCTAGCCCTGGGGTTACAGGTGTACCACCAAGTCCAGCATTTTTAGAAGGGTGCAAGGGAGCCAACTCAGGCACTTTACCCACAGAGCCATTGCCCCAGTCCCTAAGATTGAGCTTTTTAACATTCACACCAACTCGTATAATGTAGTCTTTATGTAGAATTTTTTTTTTTTTTTTGAGATGTGACCTCACTACATAGCTCAGGCTGACCTCAAACCCATGGCTATCCTCCTTCCTCAGTCTCCTATGTGCCAGGATTACAGGTGTGTACCACCACACTAGGCTCCTCAGAATGCTTTTGAGACCCTCTATGGAAAGGGTTCTAGAAAACCAGTTTCATTTCTTTACACTGGATTCAACCTCAACCAGTACTGCCTTATCAATCAACTTTTACTCTCCTGGTTCCAAAGGACCCCTTCCAAAATCTGAGTTTACCCTTAATGAGAATGTGCCCATCTTGGATGCAACACAGAACTGCAAGGGGGTAACACTGGTCAGCTTTTATAGGAGAGCACTCACAGCTGTATATCTGTTAGTTGAGTGGGTAGGATTTTTGTTATTTCTTTGGGACAGGGTCTCACTATGCAGCCCAAGCTGATCTCCAACCCACAATCCTTCTGCCTTAACCTCTTAGGTACTAGAACTACAGGTATGTGTCACTGGCTTATAATAATTATTATTATTGTTGCTTTGAGACAGGATCTCACTATGTAGCACTGGTGGTCTTAAAAATCACTATGTACACCAGGCTATCCTTAAACTCAGAGATCTACCTGCTTCTGCTTCTGCTTCTGCTGGGATTAAAGACTTACACCGCCACACCTATTCTTATTACTGTAAAATAACAAGAACTCGGGGCTGGAGAGATGGCTCAGCGGTTAAGAATACTGGTTGTTCTTGCAGAAGACCCAGGTTCGAATCCCAGCACCCACATGGCAACCAACAACTGTCTGTAACTCCAGTCCCAGGGGATCCAATGGCCTCTTCTGTCCTCCACAGGCATTGCACGACATGGGTGCGCTTACCTATATGCAGGCAATACACACATACACATAAAATAAAAAATAAAATTAAAAATAATAATAATAATAAATAAATAAAAAATAAATAACAAGAACTATTACTGCACAATCCCATCTGTGATGTGGAGTATAAAACAAATGTGATCCTTACTTTCAGAGGCTAAACTTCCAGAAGAGTCATGAAAACCAATAAGCTGGGCTGGGGATGTAGCTCAGTTGGTAAGGTACCTGCCTAGCATGCATGAAAACGGAGATCAAATCCTAGTACCACATAAACCAGGTATGGAGGTGCATGCCTGTAGCCCAGAATTAATGACTACATGTGGATATATGAGCCTTCCTCTCAAAAACAAAACAAAATGCCAATATAGATGGGCAGAATTTCCTTCTTTCCTTCCTTTTAGATAGGGTCTCATGTAGCCCAGGCTATCCCTGAACTTGATTATGTAGTCAACAAGTGCTGGGATTACAGTGTGTACCACCATACTCAGTTATGCCATGCTGGGCTTCAGGAATACTAAGCAAGCATTCTATGAACTGAAGTATATTCTCAGTCCCAATGACAAATTTCTATGCTCACTGAATCGTGTGTGTGTATGTGAGAGTGCACATGTGTAAAGGCCCTATTGATCAGGCTGTCATCACAAGTCTAGGTTAGAACTTGAAGTAATGTACCCCAGATTTCCACTGCCCAAACTGATCACAACTTAGGGCTTACCAAAACTGTACCACAACCCAGGGAAAAGGATGTAGGGCTGGGATGGAGGTTCCATTAGGAACCTATCTTTGGGTTTTCATGCCTCTGGCTGCCTCTTACCTTGCACTCCAGCAGGGCTGACAGTTCCTGAGCTTTGCTATGTTGTAAGATGTTCCCAGCATTTGTAACAAAAACCACAGGCACCCGAAGTTGTCTCTGAGAGTTTACTAGCCTGCGGAATGCTTCCAGGGCAGCTGGGATTACCCTGTGACCTCGCACCAGCACACCATCAATGTCGAACAGGAACCCAAAGGTGGGAGGGCTCTGCACAGAGGGGAAGAGAATTGGTACTGCATGAGTCAAGAGACAGAAGCAAATGAAGGAAAAAGAAACAATCTTTTTGTACAGGAAAAGTTCAACATAGGGGCTGGAAAGATGGCTCGGTGGTTAAGAGCACTCACACAGCTATATACCTGTTAGTTGAGTGGAAGGGATTTTTGTTATTTCTTTAGGACAGAGTCTCACAACGCAGCCCACACTGATCTCCAACTCACAATCCTTCTGCCTGACCCTCTCAGGTACTGGAACTACAGGTATGTGTCATGTGGCAGCTAACACATCCTTAACTCCAGTTCCAGGAGATCTGATGCCCTCTACAGGGTACTAGGTATGCACATGGTACACATACATACACACAGGCAAAACATTCATACACATAAAATAAATAAATCTAAAAGAAAGGTTTAATCTTCAGGTCATAGCTGAGAAGTGGTATCAGAAAAAATAAAGAGGTGGCCTGGACTTGCTTTTCTTTCTTTTTTTGCAGTGCTAGGGATCAAACTGCACATGCTAGGTAAGCACTCTACCACTGAGCTATACCAAGGCATGGGATTTCTGAGTGAGCACAGAACTACTTCTTTTCCAGTTTGTCAAGCACAGAATGACCTTGTTGAAATGAATTTTCACCTGGCATGGTGGTACACACCTGTAATTCTAGCATTCAGGGGGCAGAAACAAGTGGATCCAGAGTTTAAGACTAGCTTAGGCTATACAGTGAATTTGAAGCCAACACTGGCTACTCAGTCTTGAAAAAGCATAATTAGTATAAAGTAATTTTTAAGTTGGAAGTAGAGAAATTCAAAGAAAACATAATCCCAGTACTTTAATACAACCAGTTCATATTTTTCCCTTTTTCTTTTTTGTCCTATTACTTACAACTATACTAAGTACAATTTCACACCTTGTTCTCTTTGGGTGACATATAAACAAACAATTTAACCATCAGCAATGGCCTTCATAAGCATCTCCTCCTTTCCTCCCTCTCTCCCTCCCTCCCTTTCTTCTTTCCTTCCTTTCATGAGAAGGGTACCACTATATAGCCCTGGCTGGCCTGGAACTCCTGTTTACTTTCAATTGCTGTGACAAAACACTCTGACCACTACCAACTTGGGGATGGGGGGTTATTTATTCCGCTTACATCCCCCAAGTCACAGTTCATCGCTGAGGGAACCCAAGATAGGAACTCAAGGCAGGAGCCTGGAGGCAGGAGCACAGGCTGTGAGTTCAAGGCCAGCCTGGTCTACATAGTGAGTTCCAGGACAGCAGGGGCTACAGGGAGACCCTATCTCAAAAAGACCAAAAAAAAAAAAAAAAATCAAACTAATGAACTAATCAAACCAGTCTGCTGTTTCTTTTGTTGGTGCCAACTGGGTCAAACCACTCTTCACACACATTTAGTCTAGCACAGGGTTCAGTCAGAGGAGAAAATAGAAAACGCAAATCAGGCTGTTTGTGATGGCCCATACCTTTAATCCCAGTACTTGGGAGGCAGAGGCAGGCAGATCTTTGCGAGTTCCAGACTGGCCTGGTCTACACTGAGTTCCAGGTCAGTTAGGCCTACATAATGAGACTCTGTCTCAAAACAAACAACAAAAAACTTTCATTGTTCTAATATACACATTTGTATATCAAAACTATCACAAACTAGGCATGGTGGTGCATGCCTACAATCCCACCACTTTCAAAACTGAGTAAGGAGGAGCCTAAATTCAAGGCCATCCTGGGATACCTAGTGAGAACAGGTTTCAAAAACACCAACAAAAGGCCATGGAGGTGGCTCAGTGGATAAGGGCATTTGCCTTAGAAGTCTAATGACCTGAGCTTAATCCTCAAAACCCGTATGGTAGAAGAAGAATGGACTCCTCCACAGGTTGTCCTCTGACCTCCACAAGTGCACCATGGTACCTGCACCCATACACCCTCACACAATAAATAAACATGAAACAAAACATCACAGACCTAGAGAGATGGCTCAGCTGCTGTTCATTTGTAACTCCAGTTCCAGGGGCTCCAACATCCTTTTCTGGCCTTCACAGGCACTGTACCAGAGAGCATTCACATACATGCAGGCAAAACACTCATACACATAAAATATAATTAAAAAAAAAAATCGCCTCTCCTGCCAGGCATGGTAGCATATATCTTTAATCTCAGCACTTGGGAGGCCAAGGCAGGCGGAATTTTGTGAGATCAAGGCCAACCTGGTCTACATAGTGAGTTCCAAGCCAGCTGGGGCTATAGGGAGACCCTGTCTCAAAAAAAGTCACCTCTCCAAAGAGCCCAATCAACAGGGCAGACAGACATGGTCCCTGATTACAGATGAATATAAAGGACACACGAAAACACAGTCACTGGACAGTCTGTGCTGAACACCACCCCCAGAGCTGCAGAACAGAGGAGTAGGGGAAGGCCTGAACCCCTATACCTCATCCAAAGGGGTGGAGGATGGGCTATCCACAAGGTTCCTAGGCTGTGGAATTTGAAGCAGAAGGGAATCCTCAGGCCTCCATTATAGGAAAATTTTGGCTACAGAGGGAAGAACAGATTGCATAGACTGAAGGGAATCAGTTGAAGGACATGGGACCTTCTGCAATCCAGACAGAGGTGATGATTTTACCTAGGGGAGCAGTAAGAAGAATGAAGAGAAGGCAGGAAATGGATGGTCCGGGAATCATTGTGTCAATATATAAATCAGACTCAGAGACAAGTACCCACATTTTCTCTCACAATAGAATTTTTTTTAAAAAGACAGAAAGTAAGTTAGAGCACAGAGAGGAGGACCACAGGAGTGGGGTGTAGGTAATGGGGGGTAAATATGATTGAAATTCACTATATACATGTATGAAAATACACTGAAACCCATTGTCTGATACAATTCACATGTACTAACATAAAATTAAAAATGACGGAGAAAAGGGAAGATCATTACTAAGAAGGGAAACAGCCAGGACTTAGAAATCATTCAGGTGCAGGGGCAGAGAGAAGAGCCGCAGGGATCCCCATGAATTTTTTTTGAGGCGGGGGGGGGGCTGCTGCAGATCCTGAGAAGCTGGTATTACACACAGTGAACCAAAAAGGGGCAGCAAGAGCAGGGGTGGGGGTGGAATAAACAATATAACCCACTTGGGTCCTGTGAGGCAAGAAATGTCAGGACTGGGGATGAAAATCTAGAAAGTCTCTGTTCTCAGGGAACTAGGAAGCACATCAGCATTCACTTTTTTTTGGGGGGGGGTCTTTTTGAGACAGGGTCTTCCTGTAGCCCCAGCTGGCCTGGAACTCGCTATGTAGACCAGGATGGCCTTGAACTCACAGAGCTCCACCCGTCTCTGCTTCCCAAGGGCTGGGATCAAAGACGTGCGCCACTACGCCTGGCTAATTTTTTTAACTTTGCGTGTGTACCTGTTTGTCTATATGTGGGTCACACACATGCATGCCTATCAATGCCAGAAGAGGGCATTGGATACCCTGAAACTGGAGTTACAGGTGAGCTCCTCCTCTGGAGGAGTCCTCTGGGTGCTCTTAACTGCTGAGCTATATCTAGCTCCATACATCAACATTTAAGGATGGACCACATAAAAGTCACCAACAAAAGGCAGAGAAACAGCAGGCAAGATGAGAAGGGAAAACAAGAGGGTAGAAGGTGGAGGAAGCTAAGAATGAGTTCTGCATCAAGAAAACAGGAACTGGAATGACTCAGTAATGACTCTACCTCTCACTAAGCAGGTAAGAGCTCACAGGAAGCAGTCTTCCGCTCCTTTACCTAATTTAGGCAGCCAGAGCCTCTCAGGCTTAGAAAATGAGCCAAGCTGGGGGTGGTCACGCACACTGGAGAAACAGGCAATAACAAATCAGTAAGAGAGGACTTCTAACCACCAGAAAACAGCAGCCAGAGACACTCATCAAGCCCCTCATGCCATACAGGAAATGCCTGAATCTAATAGAGCCCAAAGCCTCCAAGGCTGATCTTTTTGTACCTTGAACCAGTAGACTACATTGGGCACTGGGCCAGACATTCAACTAATGTATTTTTATTTATTCTTTGTACCAAGCTTTGAGGAGGTGTCTATCTCCAAATGGCCTATTACCTAGCAAAACTGTACAGAAATGTGTAGGAAAAAATAGCAAGGACTACTAAGAACGTGACAATTGCCTGGCTTGGGTTCTATCCTCAGCTCCCTCCTCCCCTGAAAGAACCAACTTCCAAGAAAAAAACATGAGCCACAGGCTTCTCTGCCCTTTTACAAGTGCCTGATCCAAAACTGAGCCTCAAATTGAGGTAGCAGCAAAGTCAGGGGCCTTTCTCCTGTTCTCTGGGCAGATCCTGGAAACAAGCAGGGGTTCCAGGAGGGGCTGAGATCTTTCTGCCTGAAATCACTGCCCTCCTCACCCACTGCTGCCCTCTACCTGTGAGTTCAGTTCTCCCCTGAAATCAGTGTACTTAATATCCTCATAGCCTTCAGTATCCCTACAGCCCTTCCCTATTCCATAAATCCCATTAGAATGGGGTCCTAATCTGGAGCTCATGGATAGATTTCAGCGTGGTCATAAAACCCCTCACATTTTTTCTAGAGAAATGAACAAAGCTCTTCAGATTTTATGTTACTCTGTCTGAACAGATGGGGGGGATGTGATTTACACACGTTGGCCATCAACACTGGCATCAAGCTTAGATAGACCCTTTTAGGTGCTCAGTAAAGGTTGACTGAATGTTGAGTAATGCAAAGGATGGTCAGGGAGGAATACAGCAGACCTGTCCCTTGTGAAAGGAAGAGCTGGTGACTCTCAGAAGGTAAATTCCTGGAGATAAAAACTCTCTCATTCTAGCAGTCCAATTTCATTTCTGTATAGTTGTGGACATACTGCTGTGACACACTGTTCAAGCCGCATTTGCTTGAAATCAGGCCTGGTGGCACATGCCTGTAATCACAGGACCTGGGAAGCAGAGGTTAAGAGGATCATAGGGTATGAGGCCAGCTTGGTGTACATTGTGAGTTCCAGGCCAGTCAGAGGAACTAGTGAGACCATCTCAAACAAACAATCCAGTTGCTTGTAATTTTGAGGTAAATTTAGAAGATTTGTTAGGCAAGATACTGTAGCATGGTAGGTCAGTTTAAAATGAACTTTTCTTGGTACACATAAAGTTCAGGCTGGGTTGAAAATAAGAGAACTCAGAGATTAAGAGTTTAAAGCTATAGGGGGCTGGAGAGATGGCTCAGCAGTTAAGAGCACTGGTTGTTCTTGTAGAAGACCTAGGTTCGAATCCCAGCACCCACATGGCAGCTAACAACTGTCTGTAACTCCAGTCCCAGGGGATCCAACAGCCTCTTCTGACCTCCCCAGGCATTGCATGACACAGGTGCACTTACCTACATGCAGGCAATACACTCATACACATAAAATAAAAATAATAAATAAAAATTTAAAAAAATATTTTAAAGCTATAAAGGAGGAAAAATAAATAGGTGTGGCAAAACAGAGTGGCTGGTGTCTTTGGAAGACAAGTCTATGGGATTCACATGCTCTTTGAATTTTTGAACTCTCAGTTAAAAAAAAAAAAAAGAAAACCCCCAAAAAACTATGCCAGCAAGATGGCACAGCTGATTTAAGAGCTTGCTGTGCAAGCCTGAAGACTTGCATTCAACGCCTAGAGCTCATAAGGTGAAAGGAGAGAACCGACCCCACGAAATGTGTTCTCTGACCTCTACACCAGCGCGCCCTCATTACACATCTTACACACGCACACACACCCACCAATAAAGGTCATCTGCCTTGATGGCTGCACAACTTAACCATACAAAGATTTTATTTTTTATTTATATTTTTTATATTTTTTAGACAGGGTCTCCCTACGAAGACCAGGACGGCCTCAAACTCAGAGAGATCCTCCTGCTTCGGCCTTCCGAGCGCTGGCATTAAAGGCTAGGATTACAGATCTGGCCCACCATGACCGGCCCTCACAGAGAGTTTGAAATCTTCCTAGTCATTCTTAAAAGTTACCAGATTTGCCTTCTCAGAAATAAGAGTCCCTGACTTCCAGCAGTGGTAGGAACCAATTAATATGCTGAGAAACTTTTTTGACGCACAGGAGGGCGGAGAACCCACCGAGGAGGATTCGGGGTGGGCCTGGGTCGCCGTCCGCTGGCACGAACTTCTCCCGCGGGCCGAAGTCCTCCGAAAGGACGAAGGGGACGGCGGCTGCCGGCGTCCCGGGACGTCCGCGGTGGCCGGAATGCTCGGCCGCCCACACCGTCCTCCCGATCCCCCCGAGCCGCTCGGCCGAAGCCTCCCGGTCCTCACCTCCGCGCAGCCCACGGCGTAGCCCCTCCTAGGCCAGCGGCTCGGAAGCCGCGCCGACAGGCATGCAGTCAGCGTACACAGTCCCCGAACGACGCCCTGCGCCGCCACCCCGGCGAGCGCAGCCATCGCGCCTGCCGCGCGCACGCACAAGCTGCCTCCCGCCCAGCCCCGCCCCCTCGTCCAGCCCCGCCCCCTCGCCAAGCAGCCAATCGGCGGCCTCCGCCGCGTGCTGCCTCTTGGGGGCCGTAGTCCGACCTCTCCAGCGACCCGGGAGTGCGGAGCTGAGAGTGATACGGCGGGCACCCTGGCTTGCTCTGGGGAATGGGGAGGGGATGGGGACCTCGCTTCGCGGATAAAACACCGGGTCAACAAGCCGGGCGAGAGTGGAGGACTGGGCAGCGTGGACAGGCACCTGACCTCCCTTTGCACCTGTTAACTTCCGGAAATGTGCGCCGAAATCCAGACCCCTGAAATCCTAGGTGGCTTGAAACAGCTGAGTGGAAGTAATCTTTATTTCGAGATTAGTTTCCAGATTGGGGGATCAGATCTTTCCTCTGTGCCGCACCTAGACAAGGACAGCTGGTCTGGTGCTAATATTTTTACTCTTTACATTCTTTTAACTCAGTAAACAGGCATGAAAGTCCTATTTACTGCAGGCTCTGAGCTAACGCCTGGAGAAGTCATTTACTAATAATTCCCCAGATTCACACTTTGTAGGGAGACTGAGAGGTAGAAACATTGTCCCCAGAGGTCAGATAACAAATTCAGCACTGAGCACAGCTCAGCACTTTGAGTAAGAAGCCACTGACAGAGCTGAAGAGATGGCTTAGCGGTTAAGAGCACTAGCCTCAGAGGACTAGGGTTCGATTCCCAGCACCCACATGGCAGCTAAGCCCAGTTCCAGGGGATCTGTGAGCCCAGTTCCAGGAGATCAACACCCTCTTCTGACTCCCGGGGATTGCACGACATGGGTGCACTTATACAAATGCAGGCAATATACTCATACACATATTTTTTTTTTTTTAAATAAAGAGAGAATGAACTTTGGTCACTGAGCCAGGAGGAGAGTCATTTCTCTGAGGCTCTGAGCAGAGCTGAGTCTAACAATCCCTCATCTTGAGGTAGAAGTCTCTTTTCCCAGGACATGAAATGTGTAGGATACTCCCTTCCAGACTCTTCAGCCTGCCCCTGTAGTCATACTGAGTCAGCCTAGCACCAGAAAAGAAAAGTCTGGGGGTTAGGAATGGCCAAGGATTCTGCTAACCCATGTTAGTCATGTGCATTGCTTCTCAGCTTTGAAAGCCAGGATCACAAATCAGTGTAACCACAGTTGATCAAGATTTGGAAGATGAAAGCCAGGCCTTGTAGCACAGGCCCTTTATCCCAGCACTTGGGAAGCAGAGGCAGGCAGACCTCTGTGAGTTGGAGGCCAACCTGGTCTACATAGCGAGTTCCAGGCCAGCTGGGGCTACAGGGAGACCCTGTCTCAAAAAGACAAAGGAAAAAAAAAAAAAGATTTCGAGGACAGAGTTAGCTTCATCAAACCTGCAATAGCCCTGCACATTAAACCCAGCCTGGAGATTCGACTTTCCAGGTGTACAATGTGCTTAATCTCTTTCCTGCTATTGAACTACTCAGAAATTGATTTAGGGTGTGGCGGCTCATACATGTAATCTCAGCACTTGAGAGGCTGAGGCCAAAGGGTCAACCTCGTTCAGGGCCAGCATGGGGCTACAGGGTGAGACCTTGTCTTAAAAAAAAAAATCAATAATAAAATGAATAAAAAAGAAGGAATTGATTTAGTAATTAGAAAGTTCTGAAATATATCCACACTCATTCTGGTGATAACAACCTTCCCCTTGAAAACATACTCTGTTAAAGGATTTGCTTCATCCTTCCTCAGAAGAGGAGTTGGAGGAACTGGAGAGATGGCTCAGTGGTAAAGAGCAATTACTTGCTGTTCTTCCAGAGGATCAGAGTTCAATTCCCAGAACCCAGGTTCAGGCAGTTTACAACTGCCTGTAACTCCAGCTCCAGTTGATCTAATGGCCTCTTGTAGCCTCATGGGCTGATGCACACACATGTGCATACACATACACACACCACAGACACATAAATAAATTTGGTGTTTTTTTTTGAAAAAAAAAAAGAGTCAATTGCATTAAAAATTAATTTTTCTGTAAAAAAAAAAAGAGAGGGGGTTGGTGTGGTGTTGCTGGGTGGTAGAACACATCATTCAAGAAGGCCTGAGTCTGATCCCCAGCGTTGCAATTAATACATAAATAAATAAAGGGAAGAGGAAGCAAAAAGAGAAAACCATTAGAAACTGAAGGATAGTGAATGGCGTACCACAGTGCGTATGTGTGGAGATGAGAGGCTAACTTTCAGGAGTTGATTCTCACCTTACACCTTATTTAGGCAGGGTCTCTCCTGTTGTTTCTGCTGCGCTCCATGTGTACTCCAGGCTAGCTGGCCACAAGCTTCCAAGCTAATCCTCTTGTCTCCATCTCCCATCTGACCATGGGAGTGCCCCCAGCTGGGGCAAAATCCAGTCTATGGGTGACATCCTCACATCTCTACCCATATGTAAAGAAAATGCTTAGGGCTGGGCATGGTAGCCCATGCCTTAAGAGGCAGGTGGATCTCTGTGAGTTCAAGGCCATAACAAGTTCCAGGTCAGCGGGGGCTACAAGGACAATCTGTCTCAAAAAGACCAAAAAAAAAAAAAAAAAAGAAAGAAAGAGAAAGGAAGAAAGAAAAAGTAAAGTAAATGCTTAGGAACTACCTTATCAGTCCCTCATAGTCCTGTGTTCCCATCATCCCAAAACCCACCTGACTCTTCTCACCTTTGCAATATTTCCTTTCACTTCCTGTGTATATCCCCTCCCCAGTTCTTTACCACCTGCTGCAGGTGGCCCAAGGCTCAATATGCCAACAGAAAGAGACCAGAGTCCCTAGCTCAGTCTCCCAGCAGTGAGGACAAAGTCTGAGGACAGTAGGGATCCAAGTCATAGCCCTGCCAGGAATGGTCCTTACCAGCCTGCCACCCTTCCCATGTATCCCACTGAATACAACTGGCTTCTAAAGGGCAGTAAAAAAAAAAAAAAAAAAAAAAAAAAAAGTGGGTGAGAAGTGGGTGGGAGAAAGAGGAAGCTGGAGAGGAAGAGAGAAAAGAGAGAAATAATCTCAAGAATCCAACAGAAAACGCAAAGAGGAGGAGGGAAAAGAGAAGTGGATGCAGAGTTCCAAGTGTTGTGGAAGTGTGTGTGGCATTCTGCACATCCTGCAAGCAAACTGCATTCTGGGGTTTTTAAAAAATATTTTATTATTTTTATTTTATGTGTATGAGTGTATCGCCTACATGTATGTGAGCACACCCATTTCATGCAATACCTCGAAGGTCAGAGGAGGGCGTCGGAATCCCCTGGAACTGGAGTTAAGGGCAGTGTGTAGCTGCCGTGTGGGTGCTGGGAATTGAACCCGGGTCGTCTGCAAGAGCAGTCAGTGCTCTTAACTGCTGAGCCATCTCTCCAGCCCCAACATTCTGGGTTCTTAACCTTCCTATTCAGCTCCAGTTCTCTCTTCTGGATGCCCTGCTACCTGCTCCTACTAGACATCACAGACATCCTAACTGTCTCTAGCTGCATGGTATTAACTGTGAGTAAACTTGGATATTCCAAATAAATCTGTAGCTTCTCTTTCAGAGCCTAAGGAACATGCCAGACACTGGTCTTCAGAGGGAGCTGTGCTGGTGCCAAGGAGCTTCTGAAAGCAACTAGCGGGCCCAAACTGCATTTCCCTCTTGAGGGATAGGTACACTGATAGAATGCCCAGCTGCAGAAACCCAAAAGTCCTCTGAAACTGCTGCTGATCTTAGCTGCCTCTGAGACTGCTACTAACCTTATCAATAAATCACACCTGGATTGGCCACTGATCTTAGTTGCCCGGAATTCAGAGGGAACTGTTGGAGACAGCTTGTTGCTCAAGATAGCCTATCCTGCTTTAGCAGGCATCTCCAGAAGATGACACATGTAGACCCCTGCAACCACATCTGTTTCCTCATGCCCCAGCCTCTCTAACTCTTCCCATTCACAGTACAGTTGCTTCCAGCATGCAGGAAGGCTGCTGTCACTACGCCTTGAATAAACGCAGTTCTGTCTGAGATATGATATGGTCTCTTGCCTTCTTTCCTATGGTTTCTGTATTCTGTGCTCCAAAACCTAATACACACACACTAGAGGAACTTGGGACAGGGCAGTGGAGGGGGCACCGGGAAGTCTGAGGGTTCTCCAGAGCCCAGATTCCCAGAGTTGAGCTGCCTAACACCACCGTTGCCCCTCACGTGCCCTGGCTGTAAGTGATACCTTGCTATGCTTCAGACTTGGAATGCCCCCAAAGACTTGATCTCCAGCTTGGTACAACTGGCAGGGGTGGGAACATTAAGAGGTACACCTAGTGGGAGATTTCAATCCTTGAAGATGTGTCCTTGAAGTGATAGGGGGACCCTAACTCTTTCTTGTTTCCAATTGTGAAGCAAACAAGCTTTCTCTGTTATGTGGTTCTGCGTGACATACTCTTGCCATAGGCCCAAAAACAACTGGACCAAGTAATCATGGACTGAAACCTCAAAAACTTCAAGTCAGAATGAATGGGTTAACTCAAGTATTTTGCTACAGCAATGAAAAGCCGACTAACGTGTGCACACATGTGTACACACACATATACCTACACACTATTGGCCTCCTGCCTCTGCATCTCCACAGCCTTAGACTAACTGCTTATGGTACAATGGTTAATTTTAGATATCAACTTGACTGGATTAGAGCATGCTTACTATGAACTGAAATTCCTAGAAAAAAATAAACAGCACTATATGAAAGATTCTACAAAGCCAAACAACTGAACTTTGTGATTGTGGAGCATTGAAATGTTACAGAGTGGGCTGGAAAGATGGCTCAGTGGTTAAGAACACTGGCTGTTCTTGCAGAAGACCCGAGTTCGAATCCCAGCACCCACATGGCAGCTAACAACTGTCCGTAACTCCAGTTCCAGGGGATCTGACAGCCTCTTCTCTCCTCCATGGGTGCTGCATGACACGGGTGCACTTACCTACATGCAGACATAACACTCATACACATAA